CGCGGAGTTGATCTCCGAACAGAAGCAGCAGCCCAGAAGTTATGTTACAGCCTGGATGAGATGTCGACTGTCCTTCTCTCTCCTTCGGTCGGCTTTGCTCTGCCTCAGGGGAACGAGAGCTTCTGCCCCTACGCCGACAACTGCTGCAGATATTGACTATGAGGCTACAGTCACTGAATGCCGCATAGATCTGCGGCTCAACTAATTTAACACAGTTAGGATAGCTTCTTATGTATTAGGATATTTAATATTAAGGTAAATAAATGGCGGCGAAGGTGTGGCTATTGGGGGAGGCTGGAGGCCACAATATAAAAAAAAAAAAAGTAGTAGTAGTAGTAGTAGTAGTAGTACTGGGAGAAGTTATCAGCGTCAATTTCGTTCCCAAAATAGTGAAACATCTTCACTTAACCCCAGCAGAAAGATCACTCCTTGCACTACCACCGAGACTGGGAGGAATGGGAGTGACCAACCCAGAGGAGATTGCTGCCACCGAACATTAAAACTCAGTTAAGCTCACGGCAGCCCTCACTGACCAAATAATAGCTCAGAATGCAACAGGTGAGGTGGATACCAGTGAAGTAAACAAGATTTGAAGATCCATTACAACAGATCGACAGCACGGCCAAAGTGATAAGTTGCAGCAACTGATGCTGCAAATACCAGAGAATTTGACAAAAAAGTAGCTATAGTGCAGGAGGTGAGCGCCTCGAACTGGTTAACTATGTTATCGATAAGGGAAAATGGTTTCAGTCTCAATAAACAAGAATTACAGATGCCATTGCTCTAAGGTACGGTAGGCCAGTAGAAGGTATGCCCTCCCAATGCGTGTGTGGCTCTTCCTATGACGTCAATCAAGCCATGGTGTGCAAGAAAGAGGGCTTCATATGCATGAGGCATGACGAAGTAAGGGATCTCACAGCAAATATGTTGAAGGAAATCTGTCGTGACATCAGGGTAGAACCGACCCTCCTTCCATTGGATGGTGAGAATTTCCAACATAGGACTTGAAACACAGCCAACGAAGCCCATGTTGACGGCAGTGCTCGAAGGTTCTGGACTCGGGGACAGCGAGCCTTCTTCGACATCAGGATTTTTGATCCCATGGCCGCATGTCACCGTAACTTAGCTCTCGATGCTGCACACAGGAGGAACGAGAACGACAAGATAAGGGCATGCGGGGAGAGAATTCAGAACGTTGATCAAGGCAGCTTCACCCCTCTAGTGTTCACAACCTCTGGTGGGATGGGACCAAGTGCAAGATGCTTCTACGCCAGACTCGCGGAGATGATATCCAAACAGAAGCAGCAGCTCAGAAGTTATGTTACAGCCTGGATGAGATGTCGACTGTCCTTCTGTCTCCTTAGGTCAGCTTTGCTCTGCCTCAGGGGAACGAGAGCAACGGCCCCAAAGCCGACAACAGTAGCAAATATCGACTTTGAGGCAACAGTTACCGAATGCCGCATAGATCTGCGGCTCAACTAACTCAACACACCAGGGTAGCTACTTATATATTAGGATAGTTAATCTTAAGGTAATAAAATAACGGCGAAGGTGTGGCTGTTGGGGGAGGCTGGAGGCCACGTCGACTGTCTTTCTCTCTCTTTCGGTCGGCTTTGCTCTGCCTCAGGGGAACGAGAGCTTCTGCCCCAACTCCGATAACTGCTGCAGATATTGACTATGAGGCTACTGTCACTTAATGCCGCATAGATCTGCGGCTCAACTAATTTAACACAGATAGGATAACTACATATGTATTAGGATATTTAATATTAAGGTAATTAAATGGTGGCGAAGGTGTGGCTATTGGGGGAGGCTGGAGGCCACGTTAAAAAAAAAAAGTAGTAGTAGTAGTAGTAGTTTTATATAATATTTATCTTTTCTTATAATTTTTTTTATTCATTCCCAGTTGGTCAGTTGGTCAGTGACCTATCCACGGGTGGGATAATCCCCGTAAGAAAAAGAAAAAGAAAAAAGAGTGACATGTTGGTGACGTTTTACACTAATGTCGGACCAAATCATTAATGGCGACACACAAAACGAACCTACCAAACCTAATCTAATTTAATTTAATCTTAATAACTTTACAATTTATGTAATTAAGTAAAATAGGATTCGATTAACCTCCTTCCTCTTCTTCTCTTCCTTCTCCTTAATCTTCTTATTTTCTGCCCTCCCTCTTCTCTTCTACTTTCCTTTTATCAATATACTTTTCTTCGCTTCCTCCTTACTTTTCGTTTCTTCCTATTTTTATTTCGCCCTCTTCTTTTCCTCTCCTCTCCCTTCCACCTCATATTCTTTCCCTTCTCCTCCTTCTTTTCCTCTTCCTCTCTTTCATCTTCTTATCTGCCGTCTTCCTCCTCTTCTCTTCTTTATCCTCCCTCATCTTCTCTCCCGTTCTCCTCCTCTTTTTTCCCTTCTTCATCTTCTCTCCCTTCTCCCCCTCTTCTCTCCTGTCTCCTCCCTCCGCTTCTCTCCCCTTTTCCTCCTCTTCTTTTCCTTCTCCTTCCTCTTTTTCTCTTCTTTCTCCTTCCTCTCCGCCTCTTCCTTCTTCCTCCTCTCTTCTCTCCTTTCTTCTTCTTCTACTCTTTCCGATTCCTTTTCCACCTCTCCTCACTGGCCATATAAATACCACTCACCTCATCGCTTAAACGGACAGATGAAATGAAAATATCCAATACAGTGGTCAGTTGTCAGGTGAGTCACTAGTAATCAGTTGAGAGTCACCAGTGGTCAGCTGAGTCACTAGTAGTTAGTTGAGAGTAACCAGTGGTCAGCTGAGAGTCACCATTAATCAGTTGACAGTCACCAATTGTCACCTGAGAGTTACTAGTACTCAGCTGAGTCACCAGTAGTCAGTTGAAAGTCGCCAGTGGTCAGCTAAGAGTCACCAGTTGTCAGTTGAGAGTCACTAGTAGTCAGAAGATTCACCAGTGGTCAGCTGATAGTCACCAGTAGTCAGTTGAGAGTCACCAGTGGTTATCTGAGAGTCACCAGTAGTCAGTTGAGAGTCACCAGTCTTCAGTTGAGAGTCACCAAATGGTCACCTGAGAGTCACCAGTGGTCACATTAGAGTCACCAGTAGTCAGTTGAGAGTCACCAGCCTTCAGTTGAAAGTCACCGGTTAGCAAATGAGAGTCACCAGTAGTCACTTGAGAGTCACCGGTGGTCAGTTAAGAGTCACCAGTGGGTACATGAGGCACCAGTAGTCAGTTGAGAGTCACAAGTGGTCAGCTAAGAGTCACCAGTGGTCACATGAGAGTCACCAGTGGTCACATGAGAGTCACCAGTGATCACATGAGAGTCACCAGTGGTCACATGAGAGTCACCATTGGTTACATGAATCACCAGTGGTCAGCTAAGAGTCACCAGTGGGCACATGAGTCACCAGTAGTCAGTTGAGAGTCACCAGTGGTCAGCTAAGAGTCACCAGTGGTTACATGAGTCACCAGTAGTCAGCTGAGTCACTAGTGGTCAGCTGAGTCACCAGTGGTCAGCCGTAAGACAGAGAAGATAACTCGTCTCTAGGGTCTCCTTAACACACACTCCTCCTGCTTGGGGAAGACTCCTACTTGGGGAAAACTCCTGGTTGGGGAAGACTCCTGGTTGGGGAAAACTCCTGCTTGGGGGAAGACGCATACTTGGGGAAAACTCCTCCATGGGGAAAACTTCTCATCGGAAGAAGACAATCACACGTCACTTTTGCGATAGTTTCGGAGGAGTAAAAATAGTTAGTTGTACGACCCATTAGTGTGTAGGCCTAGTGCTGGCGAGGGTCACAGCCTATAGCTGGGTGATTTAAGGGGTGTTTATGTGCCCGGGGAGTCAGTTTTAAAGGGCGCCAATTATATAAATGAGGAGACGGTGTTAAGAACGTATGTGTTTCTGAGGGTATTGTCTCGTGTAGAGTGTGAGTGTCTGGGGAGTGTCTCGTGTAGTGTGTGAGTGTGTTGGGAAAGTGTCTCGTGTAGAGTGTGAGTGTGTTGGGAGAGTGTCTCGTGTAGTGTGTGAGTGTGTTGGGAGAGTGTCTCGTGTAGAGTGTGAGTGTTTGGGGAGTGTGTCTCGTGTAGAGTGTGAGTGTCTGGGGAGTGTGTCTCTCGTGTAGTGTGTGAGTGTGAGTGTCTCGTGTAGAGTGTGAGTGTCTCTCGTGTAGTGTGAGTGAGTGTGTGTGTAGAGTGTGTCTGGGGAGTGTGTGTAGAGTGTGAGTGTCTGGGGAGTGTGTCTCGTGTAGAGTGTGAGTGTCTGGGGAGTGTGTCTCGTGTAGTGTGTGAGCGTGTTGGGAGAGTGTCTCGTGTAGTGTGTGAGTGTGTTGGGAGAGTGTCTCGTGTAGAGTGTGAGTGTCTGGGGAGTGTGTCTCGTGTAGAGTGTGAGTGTCTGGGGAGTGTGACTCTGTAGAGTGTGAGTCTCTCGTGTAGAATGTGAGTCTCTCGTGTAGAGTGTGAGTCTCTTGTGTAGAGTGAGTCTCTCGTGTAGAGTGTGAGTCTCTCGCGTAGAGTGTGAGTCTCTCGTGTAGAGTGTGAGTCTCTTGTGTAGAGTGCGAGTCTCTCGTGTAGAGTGTGAGTCTCTTGTGTAGAGTGTGAGCGGTGTAAAACAACATATTATAACCGATGAAAAAATGAGAAAATAATATTTTATTTGACTAAAAGAATAAATTACAAAAGTGATTAAAAAGGGTGAATCCGAATACATTGCAAACGAACCCAAAACCACAACAACAATAAAATTAAGAGAACTGTAACAAAACACACACACACACACACACACACACACACACACACACACACACACGCAAAATCGGTCGAACATAAAACAAAACAAAAACTTAAAAATCAAAGAAATGGAGGAATTTGTCGATATTTTTCCTCTTGTCGCCAACAATTAAAAAAAAACGATGAAGATAAATTTTTGTCACGACCAATAAGCCGAGACTTTCATCGGCATTCCATTGTGAGTCTTAGAGAGGTTTTTAGGATACTTCTGACCATGGTGAGACGCCCGTGGTGCTATGGCGACCGTGGTGCTGTGGCGACCGTGGTGGTGAGACGCCCGTGGTGCTGTGGCGACCGTGGTGCTGTGGCGACCGTGGTGCTGTGGCGACTGTGGTGCTGTGGCGACCGTGGTGCTGTGGCGACCGTGGTGCTGTGGCGACTGTGGTGTTGTGGCGACAGTGGTGCTGTATGACTGTGATGCTGTGGCGACTGTGGTGCGGTGGGCGACCGTGGTGCTGTGGCGACTGTGGTGCTGTGGCGACTGTGCGGTGCTGTATGACTGTGGTGGTGAGACGCCCGTGGTGCTGTGGCGACCGTGGTGCTGTGGCGACTGTGGTGCTGTGGCGACTGTGGTGGTGAGGACGCCCGTGGTGCTGTGGCGACCGTGGTGCTGTGGCGACCGTGGTGCTGTGGCGACTGTGGTGCTGTGGCGACCGCATGCTGTGGCGACCGTGGTGCTGTGGCGACTGTGGTGTTGTAGGCGACTGTGGTGTTGTACATAGTGGTGCTGTATGACTTGTAGGTTGTGGCGACTGTGGTGCTGTGGCACCGTGGTGTTGTATGACAGTGGTGCTGTGGCGACTGTGGTGCTGTGGCGATTGTGGTGCTGTGGCGACTGTGGTGTTGTGGCGACAGTGGTGCTGTGGCGACTGTGGTGTTGTGGCGACCGTGGTGCTGTGGGGCGACTGTGGTGGTGAGACGCCCGTGGTGCCAGGACGACTGTGCGCTGGTGGCGACCGTGGTGCTGTGGCGACTGTGGTGCTGTGGCGACCGTGGTGCTGTGGCGACTGTGGTGTTGTGGCGACAGGTGCTGTGGCGACTGTGGTGTTGTGGCGAACGTGGTGGTGAGACGCCTGTGACTCTGTGGCGACCGTGGTTCTGTGGCGACCGTGGTGTTGTGGCGACTGGGTGATGTTGAGGCGACTGTGGTGCTGTGGGCGACCGTGGTGCTGTGGCGACCGTGGTGCTGTGGCGATCGTGTGTTGTAGCGAACGTGGTGGTGAGACGCCTGTGACTCTGTGGCAACTGTGGTGTTGTATGACTGTGGTGCTGGGCGACTGTGGTGCTGGGGGCGACTGTAGGCATGCGACCGTGGTGGTGTGATGCGACCGTGGTGCTGTGGTGACTGTGGCAGGGTGTGAGGCGACCGTGTGTGGTGTGGAGTGACTGTGGTGGTGGTGTGTGGCGACTGTGGTGCTGTGAGGCGACTGTGGTGGTGGTGTGAGGCGTCCGTGGTGGTGGTGGTGGTGATACTGGGATTATTCGCTCTCTCTTCCTCGTACACCACACACTCCCTCCTACTCCATATTCTCCCTCTTCCCACTCACACTCTCTCTTCACCAACACACTCTAACCCCACACATTCCCTCCTCCACAATACTCTTCTTCGTTCTCCACACACTTTTCCTCCCCTCTCTCTCCCCACAAGTCACTCTTCCCTTTCACAATTCCTCCTCCCCAAACTCTCCATCATAGCCCACATGTTCTCTCTCCTCCCTCACTTAATCTCCCTCCCCCCACCCACACACACACTTTCCTCCCTACCCCATATATTTCTTCCCCAAACTCTGTACACACACACTCTCCCTCCTCACCTCACACTCCCTCTCCTCCAATAGGAACCAGATTCAATCACTTCGTCACAGATTTCAAGGCTACTACGTCCTCCTGACACCTGATATTAATTTACAGTTCTTAACTAAAAGATCGTCTTTTGTTCTTCTCGAGACGGGGGACAATAAATATACCTGGGTTATTTAATCTGTTTAGGACAATTGATCTACCTGGGACAATTAATATATCTGGGTTAATTATTGTATTCTACCTGGGACAATTAATCTACTTGGGACAAAAAGTTTCTACCTGGTAGGATTAATGTATTAATATAATTAGTCTACCTAGGATAATTAGTCTACTTGGGACAATTAGTCTTCATGAGATAAATAGTCTACCCGGGATAATTAATCTACCTGGGGAAATTAGTCTATCTGTTTGTAGAGACAATATACGGAATGTAGTCAGACAGACAGACAGACAGCCAAACAGACAGTAAACACACCCAGACAAATAGACAAGATATACAGGCATAGAGACAGATTGACATAGAAAGATTGGCAGAAAGACAGGCAGATACAGAGAAATACAGACAGACACAGACAGATGATTGAGGCTTATTCGTCATATATGAAGGCAATAGACAGTGTAGAGACTTCATGAGTGTATCTATTACAGTCCAGAGTGCTGTACAATATACTAAATATATCACATAAACTAACATAATAAAATTGTGGTAAAGATTTTGGTTATTAAGATACTGTATAGTTTTTTATACAGAGTGATAGAGAGATAGGGAAGAAATAATGGAGCATTTTGTTAGTAATGTCTGGTAGAGAGGCGAGCCAAATTAAATTCATGGGTGAGGTGCACGTGCAGCTACCCCGGGGATATTGCTGCCACGTGGGGACCCGTGTACGAACCTCACTACACGCACACAATACCCCTCTCCTCTACCCTCACCACTTCACATCAATAACTCTTAACTAGATCAATATCATTCATGGAAAATTTGTTTCTCTTGTGGGTGTAATTAGTGAGAGATATATCAGAAAGACGTTCTGTTCAAAATAGTAAGGAGATGATGTTTAGAGGCATATGTTTGTGATAATATTGGTGAGGGTGGCGGCACGTGTGTGTGGGGGGACGTGTTCCAGCATTACACGACTGAACGAGCATCACACACCAGCCATACAATCAATCTTCCACGCTCTGTACACCCCAGACAATCATCGATCATATGGACGGTATTCCCTACAATATTGGCTACAATTTCCTCCCTTACATGAGCGGGATGATATGGCCATGTGAGTGTGGTGAGTGAGGGTAATCCCATCAAAGCTACGAAGAGAGAATTAATTATAGTTTGTGTGTGAAAATCCTTATTATTATTGAGGAATCATGACCACCCAAGTAGGAGCGGGATTTATGGTCTAACAGATTAATACACAGCCATCACATTAATCTCCATATGGTGGATTAATAATACCATGATCGCTACAAGTGATGGGATTTTAGTATTCATCTTGCTGGTCGTACACGAGGGTTGTCAGCTGAGAGTATCATGGCGCTCATCAGCTGACGGACGCCTTGTTTACTTATTGTACGCGTTTTGTTATGTGTGTGTGTGTGTGTGTGTGTGTGTGCAAGAAGTTACTCCATCCCTATGTAAAGTGTGAGTCCACCACCCCTACCAACCGCATGTCACCTCTACCATCTCTACCAACCCCCTATCACCCCTACCACCCCTACGAACTCCCTATCGCCCCTGCCACCTCTATCAACCCCATAGCACCCCTACCAACCATCTCTCACCCCTTCCACCCCTACCAGCCCTCCGCCATCCATAGCACCCCTACTAACACCCTGCCACCTCTACCACCCCTACCAACTCCCTATCACCTTTGCCACCCCTACCAGCCCCCTGTCACTCTACCACCTCCACCACCCCTACCAACCCCTGTTACCCTACCAACTCCCTGTCACCCCTACCAAACCTCTGCCAGCCTTACCACGCTTACCAACCCCCTTTCACCCTTACCACCCCTACCAACACCCTACAGACCCATCACCTTATTAACCCCCTTTCACCCTTACCACCCCTACCAACACCCTACAGACCTTCAGTACCATGGGATCACTATCCACCTGGGCAACTCCACACTCAACGTGCTAAACGCCTATGCTCCCTCAGATCAGCTTCAATACACAGATCTCCCAGACTTTTTACACACTGAGCCCACTGTCCTAATGGGTGACCTGAATACTAGACACAAGAAATTAGGTGACTCCACCACTAACACCAATGGTAGGAGACTTATCTCACTTCTCAGTGCATATGAAGATGTTCAAATTATAGGTAATAATGAACCAACACACATCTATGGCGGGGGTCTAGACAAATGTATTGGCTTTAATCTATCATACACAACTCATAGCTCTGATGTTGTCACTGATCTTATGTCTGACCACAGCCCAATCCAAGCTAGTATACATGTAGCCAATGACACCCCCACTGGTGGTAAACTCAACAGACGTAGAATCACAGTCAAGCAAGAACATGAAAGCCAGTTCATAGACTTCATCCATGACTGGTACAAGGACTACAAGCCTGACAATTACCAAAGTTTCCATGACGATCTGATAGATAGGACTTATGTATACTTCACCAACAATGCCTCCACCAAAAAAAGGAGAAAACGTGGTCAGCATAATGGGAACAGGCAACAGCAGTGCTATAATGACCCTGAGCTGAAAAAACTCAGGGCTAGGGTCAGGAGGGTGGGTAAGGGTTACAGACAATGTAGAACACCTCAAATGTTACAATTGTATCAAGCTTCCCTTGCTGCTGTCAGGGAACGTGTAAACGAACTCAGACAAAATGCATGGGAGACATATGTCAACAGCCTGAACCAACACACATCCCTCAGCAAAGCCTGGAAAGACATAAACATAATCAGAGGTAAAAACAGAAGACACGTCTCCCATCCAAACCCTCTGCAAAAGTCGAATGAGCTAATAACAAAGTGGGCTCATGTGTCGAGCTATGACATGTTACCAGCTGGGACTCGGGGACTCCTTGATGCGAAGTCTGTAGAGAGAAGTAATCTTATTAGCTTTATGCTGGGCAAACAGCACGATGAGTGTGATGTTCCATATACTGAGTGGAAGCTTGACGCCGCCCTCGCCAGGGGTAGGTCTACTTCCCCTGGAGAGGACGGAGTCACCTACAACATCATTAGACTACTAAGGCGCGTGCCAGGCAATCCATTGTTGGTATTGTACAATATGAGTCATGCCGAGGGCCAACTACCCACATCATGGACCAGCAGTATTGTTGTACCAATACCGAAACCAGGACAGCCTGATGCCTTTCGTCCCATATCACTAACCAGCTGTCTGTGTAAAACCTTTGAGAGGATGGTTCTTGGCAGACTCTTATATAGAATCAGAGAACACATGTCTCCTAACATAAATGGCTTCACCCATGGTAAAGGTGTACATAATTGCATCACCACATTCCTAACTGTGCATGGTGATGAAAGGCACAGATACACCACATTTCTTGACCTAAAAGCTGCATTTGATATTGCCAATAGGCAACTGATATTGTACGAACTAGCCAAAATGGATATAGGAGGTAGGCTGTTACACTGGATAAGTGGTTACCTAACCAACAGAAGGGCTGCTGCACTGTTTCAGGGTTACAAAAGTGAAGTTAAAGATATGCAACTTGGTACCCCTCAAGGTGGAGTACTTAGCCCCACTTTGTTCAATGTTCTTATGAATGCATTATTAAATTTAATACCAGACAACCCCAGCAATATCTCAATCAGCTATGCTGATGATATTCTTATACATACTAAAACTCATCGTGAAATGCAAACCACCCTGAACCATGTATACGCAGCCTGTGAGAACCTCGGTCTTATTATCTTCACTGAGAAAACTAAGGTGTTCAACAAACAAGCTGGTAACCGCAAACGCGGCCCTGCCAAGTTCAAGATAGGTAACAACACTATTGACTATGTTTCTTCTTTTAAATATCTTGGTGTTTCCGTCCCTTGTACCCTACCTGCCATACAACAGCTAACCCGCCAATGTACTGACAGACTGAGACCTCTTAGAAGTGTAGCGGGATACAGCCCGCACTATGGTGCTAATATTAAAATTGTTAAAACAATGTACCTAGGCTATATAAGATCTCTGATAGAGAACCACGCACCAGCCCTGGTCCTTTGTGACGGGAAAGGCGTTGACAAGCTCGAGAAAATGCAAAATAAAGCCCTCAGAATTATCCTAGGATGTCCCATGAGCACTAAAGTACTTAATATGAGGAAAGAACTAGGTATACCCAGTGTTAAAGATAGAATAAGTGAAGTCAACCTCATGATAGCCCTGAGGCTTCTGCGTGGTGATCCTGATAGCATTGTTTCCTTAAAATTGCTAGAATGTCTGAACCATGGGACTACTGAGTCTAAATGGATCCAAACTACAGCTACACATATGAAGATGTTTGGACTAGACCACCT